TAAAAAATCTAATTGGAAAGTGTTAATCAATTTTTTTAGAATATTTGTTAAGTCAGCCAAGTACATAGTTGCTAAAATAAAATCTTGATCCAACTGATCATACAATAATTGGGCATGCTTATCACCTTCATTAACATAATCATCAAGAGTTGCAAGTACTGAATCCATGATTTTATACAAATTGCTAACAGAATTAGAAAAGGACAACCATCTTGTATCACATAAATTTAATATCTTTAGTGGTGGTTCATCATTAATATCCTGCATCATTCTTAACATGCTTTGTCTCTTATGTGATTTGGAAAAAAATGCATACAAATTTTTTAAGGTTTTCTCATATTTTTCAAAATATAATACTTCATTTGAAGCATCTTTTCCAGCCAAATGAAGTCTATGTGATACACAATGATTAGATGACATGAATGGATTTATTTTTTTAAGTCTTGCAGCAACACCACTTTTATAGCCAGTCATATTAGATGCACCATCACTTCCAAAATGAATTATTTTTTGAGAAGTTATTTCTTTGTCATCACAAAATGATATTATTTGATTAAAAACATTTTCTCCATCAGTTGTTTCTAAATCAATCATTCCCAAATATCTCATGTATGGTATATTATCTACCATGTATTTTCCTACAATTGCTAAATACTTATTATTAATGGTATTTGTCTCATCAATCATAATGCTCCAATATGGAGATGAATTCAATTCTTCAATTAGTTCCTTTTGTATGACGGAAACTATACATTCTAAAAATTCAGATCCAGATTTATTATTAGCATAACTTCCATATGTTGATTTAGATGATGATGGCTTTGCTATGGATGCAGGTTTTAAATTGAATTTTTTATCATTAGTAACTTTGTTTTTTGTCAGGAACATTAAATTGCATATGTCAGGATATACTTTCATTGAAATATTTTTTTTTGAACAAAAATAAACAATTTGCATCAATGAAATTATTGTTAATTTTTTGGAGCTCAATTGATTTGTCAAGTCAATAAACTCTGTCTCCAATAATTCAAATTTTTTATGTGCACCAGAATTTGAATGTTTTTTAATTCCTGATAGCCTTAAATTAGATGAACCTTTTGCAAAGTTAGTATTCCCATTTTGAGTTCTACAGATTTTGCAATATATGATTGTTTTTTCATTTGAAACTTCAACTTCTAACCATGGATATAATTCAAGCCATTCAGGAACAATGGTTTCTCTATTGTGTGATCTTTGTTCATCTTCAGAACTTATAGCATTATCACTACCAGTTGATTCATCATCAGATATTTGAAAAACTTCTATTAGGGGAGTTGGAGAATTATGAACTTTACCAGAAAAATCAATTGATGAAGTTGATTTTTCTAATGTTTTATTTTTTTTTGGATTCAAATCTTCGTCAATGGACAAAACTCTTTTGGTATTTTGTTTATTAGACATTGTTAAAAAAAATTTAGAATTTTTATTTTTTTAAGAAAATTTTTTTTAAATATTTTATACAGTAAGCAAGTAAACAAAAAAAATCTCAACTCTTTGTTAGTAATATTTCACAAAATTTATTTTTATATTAAATGGTTTTATTTGGTACTACGTATTATAATTTGCACATAAAATGTTTCACAATTTTGGTGTAACATGCTGCGCGCGCACCCTGCGCACCCTGAATTTCCAACACTGCACATTCCGCACATTGAATTTTATACATTGAGAAGTAATTTTATTTTTGTATTGCGCAAAGCGCATTTTAATTCAATTAAAAAAATTTTGGTTATTTTTTATTGGTGCAAAACTTCATAGTGACACAAACTAAGGGAAATTATCGGCGAATACTTACTTTTTATGGAAAGGGATTTTAGTTGATATTTTTTGAATTAGTTATATATAAAAAAAAAAATTCTCAAGTTTGTAAAAATGACGTATTTTCCTTTAACAAAATAAATAAAACCACGTGTCTTTATTTAAATTTTATTTTTAACCTAATCAATATATTAAAATTTTATTTTGTTATTAATAATAAAAAATAACCACTCAACTGAGAACATTCTTTTTTCTACATTTACATTAATGACTGCCATTAAAATTGATATAATGTCAAACGACAACAATATCAGTAATGGAAACAGTTCATCAGAAATAGACAATTTAAAACGAAGGCATCTAACAAATATAAACGGCTCTCCCTACTCTAAAAATGCTTACCACCCCATTCCTTTAGAACCTTCTGAATATGATGAAAATGGAAAATTTTTAAAACCAATACGTTTACCTCAAAACAAGGTAAACTATATAGATATAAATATATTATTTATTATCAATTGATTTTTTCTTGATCCAAGATTCTCTTAATAATAACTTTTTCATTTTCAAAAAAAAAGTATCTTGCATTTTGTTTTGAAAATTATGATATTTTATTGCCCGTATTTTTTACATTTTTATCATTTTGGACAAGATTTTATTTAATTTCATTATCAAATATTGTTGTGTGGGATGAGGTAAGTAAAACATCTTTTAATTATCCATTTACACAAAATTCGATTCAATATTAATACTAATATTTAAATTATTGTTTAATATCATGAAAAGGCTCATTTTGGAAAGGTAAATAAATTTAAAAAAATTAAAACAAAAAAAATTAATTTTCTTTTAAAAATAATAATACTGATCATTCAATCAATAGTTTGGATCATATTACCTTAAAAGGGAATTTTATTTTGATGTCCATCCACCCCTTGGAAAAATGCTTGTTGGTTTAGCAGGTTTATTAGCAGGATATAATGGACATTTTGATTTTCCATCTGGTGAAAAATACCCCGATGATGTAAATTATGTATTTATGAGAGTATTTTTAGCATCTTTTGGTGCTTTGATGACTCCTTTGGCTTATTTTACAGCACTTGAATTGGATTTTTCATTATATGCTACAATCCTGGTTACTTTGATGGTTTTATTTGGTACATATATTTACATATATATATGTATATATCAGAATTTTGTTTAATGATCAACTACAAATTATATGTATTAATGTGAAAATTTATTTTATCCTTATTAGATACCGCTTATGCTTGCATTAGTCGATTTATTCTTTTAGACTCTATGTTATTATTCTTTACATTTGCAACTACATTTTGTTTGGTAAAATTTCACAATATGCGACAAGAGTAAGTAAATAATAATTTTTTTTATTAAAAAAAAAGAAAGATTAAAAAAACTAATAATTTTTTTAAAGACCTTTTTCAATCGATTGGTGGCTTTGGTTATTTTTAACAGGTGCATTCATCGGATGTGTTTCAAGGTTAGTTAATCTATTATTATTTATAATAATGATTTATTTCATTGATATAAAATTTTCAATAAAATTTCTTATTAATTAATTATAAAATTACTTCCTAAAAGTGTCAAATGGGTTGGACTTTTTGTTACCGCTTTAGTTGGAATTTACACAATAGAAGATCTTTGGGATAAGTTTGGAGATTTAACTATGCCAAAAGTAACTATAATATATATTAATCGACAGAATGCAAATATTTATCTGATTATTGTTAACATCGAAAAAATTTTATAGATGATTTATCTTAAACATTGGATTGCCAGAATTGTATGTTTGATTATATTGCCAATCCTAATTTATATGGGATGTTTTGCTATACATTTTGCAATTTTACATAATAGTGGGCCGGGCGATGCTCAGATGAGTTCTTTGTTTCAAGCAGGTCTTAGAGGAAATGATTTTTCTAATAATCCTTTAGGTAGTTATTATTCTCGAGAAAAAAAAACAAGCGATTTTCTTTTTTTCTAATTTATAATTTGCTTATTTACGGTTTATATTCCAATGCTACTGCATAAACACAATAATCAATTATTATAGAATTAGCATATGGTTCTAAAATTACCATTAAAAACATGGGTTATGGTGGTGGTCTTTTACATTCACATGTTCAAACATATCCAACAGGATCAGAACAACAGCAAGTCACATGTTATCATTATAAGGATGTAAACAATGATTGGATCGTGAATAAACCAAGAGATAACTTAACAATAAATAACGAGACTGAAATAGAATTTGTTAAAAATAACGATGTTGTAAGATTATTACATGTAAACACAGGTAGAAATTTACACAGCCATCCAGTCAATGCGCCAATTACAAAATCACAATATGAAGTTAGTGGATATGGTAATGATACAATCGGTGACAAGAATGATTATTGGAATATAGAAGTAGTCGGTGATATTTTATATGGCAAAACTGATGATAAAATTAGATCCTTGACGACTGCATTTAGATTTAAACATCATACCCTTGGATGTTATTTAAGAGCTGCTAATTCTATTTTGCCACAATGGGGATTTAAACAGGTCGAAGTTACTTGTGATAAAAGAAACAATCCTAGAGATGTTCATACTCATTGGAATATTGAAAAACATTGGAACGATAAATGTAATATTTACATGTTTATTATAATTTTTTTTTTTATATTTATCGAATAAATTCTTTTAATATTAATATATATCCATATTTAAAAAAATAAACGATATATAGTGCCACCTGGAAAACAAGCAGTTTATAAGTCAAAATTTTTACATGATTTTTGGCATTTAAATGTAGCAATGTATACAACCAACAATGCACTTGTACCGGATCCTGATAAAGAAGATATTTTAGCATCAACGCCCCGTCAATGGCCAATAGTAGAAGTTGGTTTACGTATGTGTAGTTGGGCTGATGATGCAGTAAAATATTATTTACTTGGTAACCCTATTGTATGGTGGTCGGGCACTGCTTCTTTGATAATTTTTGTGTTTTTATTTGCCTGGTATATTATTAGAGCACAAAGAAAGTATTCAGATTTTTCATCAGGTAATTAATTAATAATTTAGAGTTTTTTTTTTTTAAAAAAAATTATTTATCCTAAATTTTATCTTTTTTTTTTTTTAGCACAATGGGCACATTTCTTATATGTTGGAAAATTATGTTGTATAGGATGGTTTTTACATTATATACCATTTTGTATTATGGGTAGAGTGACTTATTTACATCATTATTTTCCAGCTTTATATTTTAAGATATTATTAGTAGGATTTTTATTTGATCATTTCACTTCTTCTCTAAAACCAAAAACAAAAGCAATAGTCTTTGGTATAATGTATTTGTTGGTTGTAGGAGTATTCTTATGGTTTAAAGATATTGTATTTGGTATGGATTATCCTAGTAGAGATTATCACGGTAGAAAATGGCTTAGTACTTGGAATATTGTTGATTAATTGGTTGTGATTAAAAAGATTATAATAATAATAACAATAATAATAATAGTTTTTAGAAGGTTAAATTTAATTTATTTGTAGATTATTATAGACAATAAAATATGTATAGTAATTTTAATTTATTTAATATTAAAATGAGTTGTTTTTATTATAAAAAAAACATATTATTTTTATTTTTTATTATAAAGTTTTATAAAGTTTTATATAGTAAATAGAAAAATTTTTCCGGAAATTATTTAAATGACTTATTATATATATAATGTGGGAAAGAAAAAATAAAACATAATTAATATATATGATACAAAAAAAAAATATAATTAAGAAAGCTTTATAAATTAATAATTTATTTAATATATTTAAAAATATAATTATTAGAAAAAAATTCATAAATAATTAAAGAAAATCTATAATGTCCTTTTTATTAAGAAATCCAATATATATATATATATATATTAAAAAATTTAAAATAGCATACAATACTATGTTACGCGAAATGTGTGATGAGAAGGAAACGTCCGTGCAGATTCATAAGATGTTGGATATACTTTTATTGGAATAAAACAATCAAAGGTTTCCACCCTAACATCCTCAACAGCTTGATAATAATGATGCCGTTCATCGGCAGTTAAAGTTACCAATGGAACATGACCTTTCGGACCAGTAATGAATTCTAGTCTTATACCCCATTGAAGTTTCACTAGATTAAAAAAAAAATTTATTTAGTAAATTTAATTGAATAATTAATATGAGGACAGTAAAAAATTAATTTTAGATATATATATACACATACCTCCTGTTGTAGAAAAATCGGGGGTGGCATGCGTTGGGATGGAAATGGAAAAGCTGATCCTCTCTGAATTAAGACAAAACTCATGATGTTCTCCATGTACTTTACGCGTTTGACGTGAAATCTGATTTTGTGGACGTTTAGCAATAGATGATTCCACTATTTCACTATTTTCCAGAGTAATTGATACCTATATTATTATAATATTATTATTATTATTGTTATTGTGATCAAAATTACTAGATAATAATAATAGTCTTATTGATTTGACAGGAACTATACCTGAAAACTTGGTATAACAGCGCCATTGAAATTTACAATTCCAGTGACAATATCACCTAATCGATAAGATGTTTTCAAAAGGCATAATTGTGCAACTCTTTGATTATTTTTACAAATGTCATAATTCGCTAATTGTTAATTATTAATTAATAAAAATATTTAATTAGTTTTTTATTTATTTTAGCCAATTAGAAAATCCATTTCCCTACACAAATAATATGAATTTAATACTTTTTCTCATATTTTTTGACAAAATTGATGTGGTGTTTGCTACTGGTGTCTCGGATTTTTCAACAAATACATAATTATCACTATCATTCCTACCATTCCTACTACTATTACTTTCCGTCTCTTCCTCATCTTTATCTGTTGATTGATCATCTTTATTCATGTTTTGGACAAGTTTTTTAATATAATCCATAAATTCTTCACGTTTATCATCTACAAAAAAAAGAGATTTTAAAAAATAATCAATATTTATTATAGTATAATAACTTTGTCTAAAAAAGATACCTAGGCAAGAGAATTTTGACCTCTTTTTTTAACTAATTTTGGCTTTGGCATATCCTCCTTAAATGTTATCACTGCTTCATCTTTGTATATAACTACAGGGTTCATCAGATCATAAACAGGCCTCGAACCATCCTCTTTTATCAATAAAAAAGATGACTAAATTTAGTAAAATAACCATGTGAACAAATAAAAATTTTGATTATAAAACAATTAATTACTCACCAGACACATAATTAAATACTCTAAACGGTAGCTGCACTATGTGTGATTGATGATTCATTAATCCCCGATGAGTTCCAATTATTAAATTATAATAGAATTTTATTGCTTTGCCTCGATGTGTAGGAGGTAGATCATTTGGTAGCCTTGATTCATATGTGTCTAACCATTAAAATTCGAATTTGTCAGGCATTAAGAAATAAAAACGGTTATTATGATTAAGACTATTGTTATTATTAAAATATTACAAGTTTGTGATTCTCCAGGTGCCAAGTGTAAATCACAGAATAGTATTGAAGGTGGTGTTGAAAATACAGGAATAGATTTGCTATCTAAAAAAAAATTCTTTAATACACAATAATAATAATATATATATATATGAATAAACAAATATAATATATAATTAATACCAGCTCTTTCTTGAAGATCAGCCAAACTCGATTGATTCATCGAGTTTGGTGAAAATATTCCCAATGTTCCACCACCAACTGCTCCACCTGCTCCATTTCCACTAGCTGGTCGATACATTGTTTTTGTTTTCAATGGTTCAAACTCGATAGATTTAATCAATGAAGCATCTACAGTAAATTGTCCTACAATCTGAGCAAAACCCCACAGTAACGTTTCATATTTTTGAGTTAAGGAAGGTGATGAACTGCATCTAAATCCATTCGAGGAATGTCTGCTGATATTGTATTTTTTATAATCTATTAGTGATCCATTCCAAGTACCACTACCTCTATCTGAATAGCCAATACCGTAAAAATCAACTGAGCTTCTTGGCGTTGATTCAGTTGTGTCATAATCACTAATGGAAATGGTATCACTAATGTCCGCTTTATGCAAATTAATCAATCCACCTTCTTCATCTATTTCTGCATCTGCAAAATGAAATGATTCCGTCAAGGGTGTGGCGACCTTGTCTTATTTATATTACCAATTAGTTAGAAAAATCCATTCAAATATCAAACAAAAATAATAAGAATAATAACAGATATGTTTACCGTTATTTTCATTTGTGTCAGAGTTGGAATTTTCTTCGCTGTTCACTGTTTTTGTCTCAGATTTTATTGTATTTGAAGTTTTAGCAATAGTCGCATTAGTAGTGGTAGAATTGGTGGTGGAGGTTGGGAGGTTGGCGAAAGGATGATTGGTGGAAATTTGTGAATTAACGTTATTTCCTGCTAATAATTAAAAAGTTGATGCAATTTGCCAATCAATGAAGCTGATCTTTTTTTTCTAAACTTTTATCTGAAGATTTCAATTCTTTAACAGGTCTCGAAAAATATCGAAAAAATTTTAGTATTCATACCATGAGTTTTATCTTCTGTTGTAACTCTTCCTGAATAACTGTAAGGACATGTGAATGTGATCTCACAACGAAATCTTTCACCTGCGAAAAACACTGCATTCTGAGGAATTTTAGTAGTCACGATAACTGACATGTTTTGTTTTATTAAAATATGTATATATAAATCTATTTCTTAAATATCGTCAATTAGTAAAATTATTTATTCTTCTTGTTATTATTAACTCCATCAAAGTTAATAATTTTTAATAAAGATCATCAGAAATTTTTAAAAAAGAAAATTTCTGGTACAACATTATTCAATGTTACAAATATAAAAAAGCTCATTCATCCGAGCAAGAGCATTATTTTCATTATTAATTTCAGTAGCATGAGTAATAGACAACCATCTTGTGCATAAAACAATGTTTGATAGACTATATTTCTTGAATCTGCGAGTATCATAATGTTAAAAAAAATAAAGTTGCAAATGAAGCTATAGATCAAGAATTTATTTATAATGTCATAAAGAGCAACCTCCCAAAAGGATGTATACACAATTGTAAAAAATGAATCAAAACCAAGCCCAAGTAAGCATATCAATATTTTCTAGTTTTTATTTTTTTTTTATTTTTATTTTGTAAACTAGAATGTAATTTATGAATAGATGGTCTACAAAGACATGAAACTCAAAAACATAAAGAGTATGGATGAATTAATAGATATTTATCAATAAGATTTATACATTCTTGAAGGATTTAATTAATTTTGTGTATATGTGTCACTTATCTTTATTAAAATTTTTTTTACGTCCCTGATTTCTTTCTAAAATGTTTCTAATAATGCAGTAATTTTTAGATTCTATAAATTAATTTCATATTTATATTTTTAGTATGGGAATAATTCCATATATCATTTAAGGAAGTAAAATCAAAATTGAAGAGAAAAAATAAACCTTTGTCTGGCGAATACTTTTGAATACTGTTGAATAGTATAAAACATTAACATTATTTTAGTGATGGTGTTATGTTCATTTTGTTGCAGTTTTGCCCACATGAAAACTAATTTTGATCTGACTTTTCCTTTGATTGATATAGTATTTTTTGCACTCCCATGCAAGTTCGTTTTTGATTTGTCCTTTCGGGATGAAATTCTGAACATAAGGGTATGGCTTCAACTAGTTCTTCAGAAAAATCTAGATGCAATTTCATAAAGCTTCAATCCACTATGAGCTTTCCATTGCATTGTCTCCTTTAAGGCCAACTTTTTTATCGAGACAGAGAAAATTATCATTTTAAATAATTGTCAGTATTTTCACACCAGGGGCGATGTTTTTTGTGATACTAAACTTCATAATAATGGTTATCTTTGTTGGTGAACAATTTGATTGATTTTGCTTGATCCTATTTCATTTTCCCTCTCTTCTCTTGTAACGTAATTGATTTGTTTTTTTGGAGACAAACTCACTTAAGAGTTTGTATGATTTGATACTATCAAGTTATTCAAGCCAGTATAGATAAGTTTATTTTTTTCATAGATTATTATCAATTTGGATTCATTTTCTGCCTTTGTATTTCTAGGATTATGAGGAGAATATGATGGTTATATGAATGCTACTTTCTTTGGTTGGTTCTTGTTCTTGTATTGAAATTCTTTTATAGAATTTTATACACGTTTAGTCACATGATTTAATGAAATTGATCAGGCAGGTAGTAATAGTGATACATTCTAATGGTGCAAGGAGTATTGATTAGCAAGCAGGATAACAAGGTGCTTTACGTGACGAGAGTGACAATGCCCTGTTGTTAGCAGAAATTAATTTGCATGATGGCGGTTTTCTCTTTCTTACTGTGTATATCTATCAGGAGGTTCTAATTCAATGATATCATATTATTTATTGTACTTGTTCTCGCGATTGTTGTATGTTTATGATTATATAGTAATTTATTTTTCCATATAATTTTCTTCTTTCATATTAGGTTGTGCAATTATTCCATCAATAAGAGACTATATTAACATCACTTATTCCAGTGATTTCCCTATGACGACTATACCATAATCTACTTTCCTATCTTTTAATGAAACGTTTTTTAGTGGTTCTTCAATACTTAATTCATCTTCTCGTATGGCTTTTTTCTTTCTATGTCCCTCTTTAAATAAAACTTTAACTTTCTGATATTAAAGTTTTCGTTTTTTTATTGACAGTGTTACATATGCTTTTCAATTCTTTCAATAAAAAGAATCACATGGTTTAATCGATTTTAAAAAACCTTTTGTTTCTTGAAACATCATAAACAACTTTTGCATGTTCTTTGGTGAAATACAGTTGATTAAGACCTTTTAATTATTCTAAAGTCTAGTTTTTTTAAAAACATACCACATATTAAATAATTCCAAATGACTGAAAATTTTCTCGAATTGTAAACTTGGATTTTTATCAATCAAATAAGCTGCAAATGAGATTAAGATTATGGTGCTTGTTCAACTTGTAGCAGATATATTATTCATTAATCCACAATTATTGGCCAAGGTTGATTAGTGATAATGGCATGAATCAATTAAAAATAAACAGCTTAAGAACAACACCAAGATTTTATATCGAATGTATGGATGCTGATCCAAATAAACATCCAACTGCTGTTGAATCTTGACTAGAGTTGTCTTATTTTGATGCTTATTCAAATCATGGAAAAATATTTTTGTAAAATAATTTTGACAAATGAATGCATGGTCAAATTTATGTTTTCTGTTACAAATTAAAATTTGCACGAAATTTAAAAGTACCATAGAATCAAAAAAAATTTAAATTCATAACTTCCAAAGTATCTTGATTAACTAATTCTAAAAAATCAATGACAAAATATTTTTACAATTGACTTTTACTCAAGATAGAAATATCAGTATGAGGCCAAAGACATAAGGCTGTATATTCATGGTGGCTTAGGAGTTATAGCTTGATCTCCCATGGAGGGGGGATAGCTCAATGAGGAGAGAACATCATTCAAACTCACTCATCCATTGATGGTGATAAAAATGCTAAAACAATATATAAACGTTGAATATAAAAATACTAATAGAATAATAAATAAATAATAGTAAATGATTATAAGAGGCATGGTGCTAGGTCACTTCAATCAGGTTAAGCTACAAGGAGGTTTACTTTAATTTAAAATAAATATCATTAAAACATGTAATCATTGAAAAAATAATAAGAGGTGTTTGTTCACTATATAACACTTCTTTATAATAATAAAAAAACTAATGTGAAAATTTCAATAATCAGATGAATGAAATTCATTCATAAATTAAATCATCTGGTATAGTTAATTCAATTTGTTGAGATTCTAAATAATTTAAAATATCATTAATAATAAATAATAAGATTAAATATATAACAATAAATTAGATAATTACTATAATTATTACTAATAATTGTAACTTTATTGGAGTTTACAGGTTGAGGAAGATTTTCAAAATTCAATAATCTACTTGTATAAACAGCATTTGGATGAACAGTTACTGTAATTGTTGAAGGATCAAAGAATTTTTTATCTGCTTTCTCAAATATTTTTCTTATTTCTTCTAATTCATCAAGCTGTTCTTTAGAATAAATAGGATTACTTAATTTTAGATTTTCATCATCAATAAAAATTGCATCTTTCCAAAAACCAATAATTTTTAAAATTTCATCTGCTGTTGGTCTTTTTTCAGGATCAGCATCTGTGCATTTGTATGCTAACTTGATATAACATTCTGGAGTATTATCTGAAAAACTAGGCCTTAAGCCACCACAGATCTTGAAAGCAAGATCTAGGTCATGTGGTTGATCTTCAAATGGCTGTTGATGCATTGATGTTTCTGACATCAAAATCCCAAAGCTATAGATATCAGATTTTTGTGTATAAGGTTTCTTATTTAATACCTCTGGTGCAACATATGGCAGTACTCCAAATATATTATTTTTACTTTTACTTGATGTTTCTTCATCAGCTGGGCCTGATAACCCTAAATCTGTAATCATTGCCTCAGATAAATATGGAAAATATAAAATATTACCACTGTGAAGATCACCATGTATAAGTTTTTCTTGATGAAGTGTGTTTAAACCTGAGATAATATTATAAAGTTTTTCAATCTTATCACTCCATCTTGCATAATTTGGTTTTAAAAATTTTTTAAAATCTCCATCAGCTGCATATCTCATTATTAAAACATATTCTTTTGTATTTGGATCTTGTGAAATGCCATAAATATTAACAATGCCATTATGATATGGTCCTATAAATTTAATGTGATTTTGAAGCTTTATGAAAATTAATAAAAATTTAATGTATTAATTAAAAATCATTAATAATTGTCAATTAATTATATCAAATTATTTACCTCCTTTAAAAACTCTTCAGAAATGTTTTGTGAGTTTTTAACCTTTTTTAATGCTACATCACCATTTACACAATAGTATCTTTCATTTTCATGAACAAATCTAGGACCATTTGACCAGTAACACTTATACACAGTTGCAAAACCACCTTCACCTATTCTTTCTTCAATTGTGAGTTGGTCATAAAGAATCCATTCAAGGTAATGATAACTATCAAATCCTTTGGCTTCAAGCTGTGTATTTCTGATTATTTCATCTAATTTTTGATTCCCACTGCTTGTCCAACTTTGAGCTAACAATTTAGGATCACATGATTGACACCACTGGTAATTAGTGTTATATCTTGCACAAACAGAACAGGTCCCATATTCTTCTTTTCTTTCTTTAAACTCCTTAGTATTATCTTATTATTTCAAAAATTAAATTTTTCATTATAAAAAATTCAAAGTAAAATAGAATTATTTTTCAGCATAATAAAAATAGACATTCATTTAAAACAAAAAATAAATTTATTTAATTAGACAAGGTTTTGGTAAAAATTATTTTGTGTTGATAAAAGTTACCAGCTGGTTATTATGAAAAAATAAAAAGTATTTAATTAGATGATGTTATAAAAGCTTATTTTGCATGCATTGTAAAAATTACTTACATGCTGGTTATATTATAAAGAAAATAAATTTATTAATTAGTTGATGTTTTAATAAAATTTATTGTGTTGTAAAAGTTAATTTTATAATATGATACTTACTCCCTGATTATTGTAAAGAAGATTTATTAATTAGATGATGTTTTAATAAAGCTTATTTGTGTTGAAAAAGTTAATTTATAATATAATACCATCTATTAAATAAAAAATAAATTTATTTAATTAGATAAAGTTTACTTTGTGTTGTAAAAGTTAATTTTATAATATGATACTTACTCACTATTATTATAAAAAATAAATTTATTAATTAGATAATATTTAATTAAGTTTGCTTTGTGCTGTAAAGTTAATTTATAATATAATACTTACGCCCTGGTTATTATAAAGAAATAAAAAATAAAATTATTTAATTAGATGATGTTTATTTTGTGTTGTAAAAGTTAATTTATAATATAATACTTACTCTCTAAGAATTAAAAATAAATTTATTTAATTAGATAAAGTTTATTTTGTGTTGTAAAAGTTAATTTATAATATAATACTTACTCCCTAAGAATTAAATATAAATTTATTTAATTAGATAAAGTTTAATATGTTGTAAAAGTTAATTTATAATATAATACTTACTCACTGGTTATTTTAAAGAAATAAAAAATAAAAATATTTAATTAGATGATGTTTTGATAAAGTTCATTTTGTGTTGTAAAAGTTAATTTGTAATACAATACTTACACCCTATGAAATAAGAAATAAATTTATTTAAATTAGATAAAGTTTATTTTGTTTTGTAAAAGTTAATTTATAATATAATACTTACACTCTATGAAATAAAAAATGAATTTATTTAAAGTTTATTTTGTGTTGTAAAAGTTAATTTATAATATAGTACTTACCCTCTATGAAATAAAAAATAAATTTATTTAATTAGATAAAGTTTAATATGTTGTAAAAGTTAATTTATAATATAATACTTACTAACTGGAGAAATAAAAAATAAAATTATTTAATTAGATTATGTTTATTTTGTGTTGTAAAAATTAATTTATAATTTAATACTTACCCACTGATTATTATAAAGAAATAAAAAAGAAGTATATTTAATTAGATAAAGTTTGTGTTGTAAAAGTTAATTATAATTACTTACCATCTATGAAATAAAAAATAAAATTATTTAATTAGATGATGTTTTATTTTGTGTTGTAAAAGCTAAATTATAATATAATATTTACCAACTGTTTATTATAAAGAAATAAAGAATAAAATTTATTTAATTATATAAAGTTTATTTTGTGTTGTAAAAGTTAATCTATAATATTATACTTACCATCTATGAAATAAAAAAAATTTTATTTAATTAGATGATGTTTATTTTGTATTGTAAAATTAATTTATAATATAATACTTACCAACTGGTTATTATAAAGAAATAAAGAATAAATTTATTTAATTAGATAAAGTTTATTTTGTGTTGTTAAAGTTAATTTGTAATATAATACTTACTATCTATGAAGTAAAAAAACAAATTTTATTTAATTAGATAAAGTTTATTTTGTGTTGTAAAAATTAATTTATAACATAATACTTACCATCTATGAAATAAAAAATAAAATTTTTAATTAGATGATGTTTTATTTTGTGTTGTAAAAGTTAATTTATAATATAATAATCACCAACTGGTTATTATAAAAAATAGAAAATAAATTTATTTAATTAGATAAAGTTTATTTTGTGTTATAGAAGTTAATTTTATAATATAGTACTTACTGTCTATGAAATAAAAATAAAAATATTTAATTAGATGATGTTTTGATAAAGCTTATTTTGTGTTATAAAAGTTAATTTATAATATAGTACTTACAATCTATGAAATAAAAAATAAAATTATTTAATTAGATAAAGCTTATTTTGTTAAAGTTAAATTATAATATAATACTTGCCAACTGGTTATTATAAAGAAATAAAAAATAAAATTATTTAATTAGATAAAGTTTATTTTGTGTTGTAAAAGTTAATTTATAATATAGTACTTACTATCTGTGAAATAAAAAATAAAATTATTTAATTAGATAAAGTTTATTTTGTGTTATAAAAGTTAATTTATAATATAAAGATTACCCTCTATGAAATAAAAAATAAAATTATTTAATTAGATAAAGTTAATTTTGTGTTGTAAAAGTTAATTTATAATATATACTTACTCCCTAGGGATAAAAAATAAATTTATTTGATTATATAAAGTTTATTTTGTGTTGTAAAAGTTAAATTTATAATATATTACTT